AACATGAATTCAGGCACAAATTAAATTCTCAAACGAAAACGAGAGTTCGGTCAACTTGTTTTCGTTACTAGAACTTGCACAATGGACTGTCGTGAAGTTAGAATCACAAGTACCTACAGTGACCAGCAAGTCAAAGTACACTTTTCTGACAAATATCTTTATTCGATTTTCAAATTTATAGTTCGTATATAAAGTCGAAAATTCAATGATAAAAATTAACAGGTTGGGAGTATGTTGATTTGCTGGACACTAAAAGACACACCCATATTCGCGATACCTGTTTGACAGGGTCTTAAGATTCTTTGTGTTTCACAGCCATTGCAGATTTATAAGTACCTATGTATTTTGATGTCCTTGTGAGAAAAACCGAGACGTTTTAAGGAAACTAAGCCTGACTCACGTGTGTAAAAATATTAGGAAGTTACTCATAGAACTACTACTTAATACGTAAAGTTTGATACTGACAAGTGATAAGTGTGGGAGCGCCATGCGTCGGCACGAAAGGGTCGGTTCAACCAAAATAATATCACGACCTCACACAAAACCGGCGCGAACCAGTACTTACCGAGGCCCAAACCCAGCTTTCTATAAATTTTGCGCGAGACTGTTCGTTGTGGCTTTACGTTTTTGTCGAGTCAAACTACTATAATACCATAGGTACTTCGATACCTACATATTTCTACCTATGATCTATAAGTTAGAAGATATAAATCTATTTTTATAAGGTATGTCTCATGCCTGATTGAGACCCAAAAGATCCTGAATATCCTGATAACGAATGACGATACAGATTTAACACCTACAGTTAAGACTTAAACTTAAAAAATACTTATGAGGTAAGTATCTCTCATAAGCAAGCACGGTCAGATTCAATCAATGATGTATAAAACTATAGATACGTTGTCCGCGCTCTAAAATGACAACATGAAATGAAGGCAATTGACAACATCGCGCTTAGTTACGCACCATCCTGCCGCGCGACGCTACGTTTGTTTTTAATTTATATCGTGTGTAAACCTGTGCGAAACATAAAGAAAGCATGTCGTCGTGTGTGTTCAGACGATGTACAAATTATACTCCAAAAGTTAAAGACAAAAATGTGTCATTTCATGCGTAAGTTCACCAAACAACCTATTTTTATTTTATTTTTTTCGATGCCGGCGCCCGCCATCTTATGGCGGCCGGCGCATGAAGGTATAGTCACGTGCCGTCGGCATAACTGAAGATGTATATTTATCTCCCTCTAGCAAAGGCTATACTATACGATGTCATATTTTCTTTCCCTTTCTTTACTCGTAGAAGTAGTTATCTAGTACTTTCGCCGTTTTTAAGCGCCGCGATGTTGGTTCATGACGTGTCTATATATAATACGTCATTGGATTCAATAGTTAGTCTTTAAAAACAATTCCAATAGAATATGAATTTGCAGCGAAGCGTAACATTAGGATTAACAAACCACGCAACCAAATAATACATGCCCGCGAAATTATAATACACAAGCAGATATCTATGCAGTCAAATGAGAAACGGCAAAACTAGACAATATTGTATGAAGGTGATATACGCATAATCATTGGCTTACCAAGAAATGCTGTTTTTTACATCGATAAAAATATCACTAGTTTCGCTACTGCTCAGTTATGTTTAGCATTGGATAATGATAGCATTTTTATCTACATTCAAATAACAATCACTTACGAACCCATAACAAGAAGACTAGGTAGTTAAAAATAATATTTCCATTTTTCATCCATAGAAAATACTTCACACGATCTTTATTATGACACAAACAATTGCATTATTTTTATATGAAATCTTATTTTAACCGTCTTGGTTATAGAAACTTTTTTGTTATTATTAAACGCTATGGTCATTTCACATTTAAAAAGTGCAGTGCATGCCATAAAATATAATGAAAAGTAAATTATATTTTTGCTTTTTTGGTGTCTAATGGAAAGCAAATAAATTAGCAAAGATGTACCTAAGTAATGAAATATGTTCGATATAGGCAAGTTTTATAATAAAACTTCTGTAAATTGTAATATGCAAATAACGTAAACACATAAATATATCTGGGTTGTAGGTACCTAACTAATATGTAGGTACTTAATATTGGTCTGATGCTATTGATTACTTATAATAATTTCAGTGCATTTACCTACCTACAGCTGATTTTATATCTACAGATAATGAACGTAGGTCAAACAGTCTTACAAAGATCTACTTACAATACTAGGTAAAAAATACTTTTTTGTTACGGTTAAGTAAGGCGTCACAATTTATTTTTAGGTGGGTACACAACAACATACCTCCATAATAATATAGTTATGCCTGTGTAATTCGTATCATGAACAGCAATCTAATTAATTAAAACTCGAGCACAACATCTTAAAACAATTTTAACAGCAAGACATCAAAAATTTAAGAGAGTACGCGTTGACGCGGGCATAAATCATGCATTTCCCGGCGCTCCGGCGCATACTGTCGTATCTAAATACTTCCACTGCACTTTCGTGTGTGAATCTTCTAATTGCTCGGTAGAAAGTCATCGCTGCAGGTTTTTTATCAAACTATTCAGTGCTTCCGAGCTCTAGCGCTCTGTATGATTTTTGTGCGTTACTTTACTTTATTATTATTACGTTTAGATTCCTCTCTAACAAGATGAAAGTTTGATCACACTTTTAATGAATTCCGTTTGCATTCCCGCGACGACTGCTTGCAGTCTCAGAAAGTGAATCACGTTTTAGAACACACGAAAGTCGATAATTAGGTGGTTAAATCTAAATCCACTAATTAGTCTTGCTGTTTAACGAATTTATTATCTGTTGTCATCCATTTTTTATCTGTGTTAGAATGATTTTTTTCTCCAAACCATAGTTGGTAGCAGAGACAATATTAATTATTCACATTCACGTGTAGCAACTGAAAATTTTAAATGGCCTGCTAACTCATTTGTGTTCGAAATACCTACTGCAAGTGTGAGTACGATCATACATAACATATTCCTCCGAAGCTTATGCAAAACGACCCGCTCCAGCTTCGCACCAGCACAATACTGATCATAAATTTAATAGATTTTTTTATATAAACCACCCGTTGCGTAGTTTTAAAGATCTAAGATACAAACCCTTTGTTTTATAGAGTGTAGAGAGTTTCATCACTTGACATAGGTAGGTACCTACCCAATAGGGGTGTGACTTGCGAGCCTTTCATAAGTAAGTACATTACCCATCCCGGGAGACTGAACCTCTACTTGGGCAACTTGGGCAGTCTCGCTAGCGTCCACTCGATCAACGTCATTTATTTCGCTGTAACTACGTAAGTAGGTATAAGTAGGCTACGTACTTACATAACCTTCTTATTAAAAAGTTGCCTATTACTTATATTTACATGTTTCAGTGTAGGCGGATAATTCGCAGAGGGATTATCAGGATTACAACAACCGCAACCTTGACCGACCTGATCTTCTGTATTAATACTTGGATAACGAGGCGTTCAAAATATAACATACTCCTAATACAGATACCCTGGTACTTCAAAGTACTTTTAACGTAACTGTAGGTAGGTATGTAAAAGCAATTCATTTGTTTTTAGTACCTATTAGTTTTTTTTTTACTAAAAAACAATTGAATTGTATCAAATAAAAATTAATGTAATTTATTTATAAATACGCTATTTACCATTTCTATATACGCAGTGAGTACCTATGTGATTTAGTACATACGGTCATCAACTTGTTTATTTATGGTACCATTTTGTTCGATAACATGAGGAAACCGCTTCAGCTTACCGGTGGCGTTACTACCAATGACGTAGGTAAACAAAACATAAAAATACTGAAATAAAGATGGGGATCTTTAATTCTTTCGAATTAAAATTATTGCAATGGTACTGGAGAAAAGAATTACCTATTAACTAATTGTAAAGATAGAAACTTAAAACCGATCCGTCGATTTGCTGGTTTACCTTCTATTCCAGAAAAACATGGAATTTTTAGCACACAAACTGTAATAAAGCACTAAGTAAAATACTGATAAGGAGTCTCCAGAGTCGCCAGCATCTCCAAACTATTACCAAGAAGAGCAGTATGAACAGTTTTAAAACTCATCCGACTTCAAAAACTCCTACTTACTACAAGAAAAAAGAACGAACGAAGAACGACTGTATGCAATTACCTATAAAAACAAAATTTCATCCGTACTCACCGCATCCACTGCATCCAAACGCACACACAACACGTATTGATACGGATTCTGATAAAAAACAATCGAGAAGCACGCGCTCGCGGCTCGTGCGACCGGTCGCAGGCACGGCGGCGCACCGACTGCACAGAGTACATTTTAACAATAGGAAAACCGACTGCCCACCTCAGATTTACTGACTTAGAAAGACAGTACAAATACTACTTCACCAAAATTTCACTACGCCCTGTTTTGTTTTCAGTGTAAGAGCAATTCCTACTACACATCTTATCCCCCCCACTTAGGTACCTACTTTTTAAATACTTGGTCAGAGTGAGCAAGTGTGCAAGCCCAGCGCTTAGATTTAATATAGACTAGTTTGCCACTTAATTCATATAAAATTCTAAGAAAATCTAGTTGTAGTGTTAATTGCTAATCAGTATTGGCTAAGTTGTTCAATAAATGTTACAGTAAAGATGAGTATGCAATTTGCGAAAAAAATGCAAGCCATATTGGATTGATTAAATTGGAATGGATAGGTTTTGAAAAAAACCTTATTACACCATCTACACACCATGATTTATGAAATAATTACTGTAAGATACAGACCCTTGGTGTCGACAAAATATGATGAGAAGGGTTAAGCTAATGTGACGATGCGAGTACCTACTGAAATTCCCTCCTAGGAAATAATATGTATAATCATTGACACTGACGCCATCTATCTAACTTGATAATGTAACTTGAAGCTATAAAACTAAAACAAAAAAAAAACAAATAAAATAAAATATTTATTAACAATAAAATTCTATAAACATCGTAAATAAGTAAAATAATACGATTAACACAACTCTGCAGGCATTGGTTCACCTTTGAGAGCAGTTAAAATATTGTTAGCAGTGAGTTCACTCATTGTGTTCCTTGTTTCAATGGCTGCACTGCCTATATGAGGTAGTACGACGCAGTTAGTAAGCTTGAGAAGCGGATTATCTAAGGGTAATGGTTCAGGAGTAGTGACGTCAAGCCCTGCAGCTCTAATAGTGTTATTTTGCAGCGCTTCAATCAAGGCATCCTGATCAACAGTACCCCCTCTACTTGTATTAACAAATATAGCAGTCTTCTTCATTTTCTCAAAAGCTGCTTTATTGAACATTTCCTTAGTTTCAGGTACTAACGCAGCACAGCAGATAATGAAGTCACTTTGCGTTAATAGCTCATCGAAGCTAACTTTAATAGCGCCAATTTCTTGGGCCTCAGGTCGTTCTGAGCGGTTGAAATAGAGGATTTTCTTTGTGTTAAATGCTTTGACGCGACGTGCTACGGCTTGTCCGATGCGGCCAAAGCCTGCGATGCCGACGGTGGAGCCTGCTAAACCGGGACCTGTCATCCAGGTGGGAGCCCACGACTTCCAACCCCCACAACGCGCTTCGTGCTGCGCTTCGGGGAGGCGGCGTGATGTCGAAAGAAGGAGTGCCATCTGAAAATGATACGAAACAATTTATATTATTTCTGAAGAAATTCAAAATGTATAAAAGTTTTACAATCCAGTTAAGACTGACGTGTAAATAAGTGAAACTAATTTAAATGGATTTAAACTGAAGTAAAATTGTCATCAACAACAACATACTCTAATCCTATTATATTAAAATTGTTACTCCAATGCACATTTTTAACTGACAACTAATGCTTGAAATTAATGCCTGTGGTTGAAAGCATGGCTATTGGATGAAAACAATTAATGTCCCATTCTTGTTGGACTGACATCAAGTCAATGACCAATACATATTTTTCGATTTCTTATGAGACATTATAGGATTGATTGGTTATGGACCAAGCACCTATTTATCATCTTCATTTCAGTACTGATAAACCAATGTGACATTGTCCATTCAAATTACATTCTATATTTGGTACAAAACAAACAAATGTGGGTGCCTTAATCCTGATATGTTGGCTTTTGCCTTACAAGGTGCAATTTTGTTTGTGTCTGTGAAATTCTAAGGACTACCTTACCTAAGCTCCAAATTCTCTACCAAACGGTAATAAAATTTGTAGATATTTTTTTCCCATAAACATGGATTTTTTCTTGTAATTTGACATACACATAACACCCAGACCGGAAATAAAATTTTTTTAATCAAACATAATTGTTTCATGCCCAAACTGCAAAATGTTGCCTGGCAGCCAGTTGGTCAACTGTGCAGCGAATTGTTATTGCTAAATTATTTTTTGTATGTAATTCAAGGACTTCTTTAAGTGTGTATAGTCAGTCAATATATATTACTCACAGTTAATTCAGCAGTAGCATCAGTGAGTACATCCGGAGTGTATCCAATCCGGACACCTCTCTTCTTGCACTCCGCTACATCTATATGGTCATGGCCCACAGAGATAGTGCCTATGACCTTCAGACCTGGCCCAGCAGCATCCAACACCTCCTTATCTATCTTGTCAGTTAGAGAACAGAAGATACCATTTACACCAGCCACAGCTTTTAAAAGGTCTTCTCTTGGCATTGTTGATGGATGTGTAGACATTTTTACATCACATCTGTAATTTTGTTAATAATATATTAGTTTATAGTATTAAAAAAAAAAAAATAAAGACAGGAGCCAGCTTGTCCCAGCTATAAATAATTAAGGTTACAGAGGCAGAATTGTTCTTACATTATGTGCTACTACATGGAGGACTGCTTTCCGTATCAACTTTGTTATTAAAACTTTTTTGAACAAAAATACAGATACAGAGGTTGTCATTAATAATGATTGATAAAACTATTCTTAATAAGTATTGAACAAAAGTTTTGTGCAAAACTCCAAAAAATATACTGATGATCAGTGGGTAGTCTTAGGGATGTTAACAACTGTATGGCATATAAAAAAAATAAAACAAAGACTAAAACAATTTGAGTTGTAATACATAATCACAAATAAAGTATTTAGAGTAAAATTACAATTCCCAGTATTACAATATGTCTCATACTCATATCAACGATTACAAATACGTGGCTGAACTTGTAAAATACAAATAATTATATCAGGTACAATAACGAATCTACTTACTCCTTTTTAAGCAAGTCTATGCCACCCTGCGGCATATCATTGCGCGTTACAAACACCTGATACCTTCCGGAGCTCATCTTTCTTGCAGTAACGACACCGCGGACTAAAGACGGCGCTGACAAAACTAGTCTTTTATAAATCATCAATACTCTATAGGTTATTTTCCAGTTGTTACCGGCTTCCTTGTTCGCGTTCACGCCTCGCTAGAGATTCAAGGCCGTTTGTTCACTTCTCCGGCAAGTATCTTGGTGGAATAACTTCAGTTTTTGTCGCACTTTCGCCTTTGAAAAATGAAGGTTTGGCAAAGTATATTGTCATGTGAAGCGCAGCCACCGTTGCTAATATGACCTTGCCTCTTGTTGAACTTATAAATGATGATACGCTCATATTATCAACTTCTAATACTATTATTACGTAAATGCTAAGCGAGTCTTCATAATAACGTAAATCGTAAATAAATGATAATATTATCGGTTACCAAATGAATTTATGAACGAACACGTGATGACGTTTGATTGACATTTACAAGTGCTGTAGAGTGAAACTTGAAGGTGACTTATCGAAATTAGCAAAAAACTGTAGAAACTGTCTCTGTAGAAACTCTTGGCGTCTTTCTAACAGTTATATAGGTACATCGAAAAGGCATTTTTTTTTAATTATTTCTTCAATATGTGCAGAAATAAGCAAGTCTATCATGAATCGCAATTTAATTTTTGACACCAATACCAAATATATTATAAAAATATCGATAGCATTTCAATCCCGAATGCTAACATCTCTATTTATGAATTTATGCAAACGTCATAATTGACAACAAGATTCCGTTCAGAAATATGAAAACACAGTTTCTATATCGTTTTTTTTAAATAATAGGTCGGCAAACGAGCATATAGATTAGCTGATGGTAAGCGGGAGGGGGTCAAGTCAAGTCTCATCTAAGCTTACGTTGGAGTGAGGGATCTCGGCAAATATCACGTCATTTTTTTTCTGGATGAAGCAAAAAAATTATATATTTGGTCCATTTGATCCAGATTGTACATCCTTAAGATTTAATTCTAAGCGTACCTACCTACTGTTAATACGATTCCCTAATTTGTTCTCAGAAGGAAATTTTATTTTGTTTTTATAATACCTAATAATCTAAAGTGTTTAGTAAAAAAACCCACATTTGGAGGTGGTTGAATAAAATGTCACATCTCACAAAAGGGGGGTTTGATATTTCAAAAAAACACCTCACGTACTAATTTGTGGACGACCCCAAAGTAATAAAATACATAAAGTTGTATAAACAAGCATTTAATCATTTCTCACCTAAAAATAAAATACATAACAAACTAATCATTATGTTCGTGTTGAGCCTCAGATTCTCTCCAGTTATTTTGAACCATTTCTACAATCATAGTCCAACACTTGGACTGCATGAAGTAATAAACAGAACAAATAATAATAAATAACCATGATAAGACTAGAAAATAATCAGTTTCAACTTCCACCACACTAGAGACTGGACCTTGGAAATCTTTAGACATAACTACCTGACTTTGTGCATGCTTTCCAGTTACAGCATTCAGAAATTTACTGAAAGACTGTATATTGTATTCTGTGCCATTGAATTTTCCATAAGGTCTGCCATTGTGAAACACTTTAAGAGTAGGCACACCTACTATTCCATAAACAGTATTTGTGCCACCATATTTTAAAGCATCCAGAGCCACCATCTTCACATCAGGGAATGCTCTTGCAAGTGCATTGAAATGTGGTGCAGCTTTAGCACTGAAGGGGCAAGCTCTTGCATAAAAGAAGACAAGTAGACAGTCAGCTTCCATGTCTCGACTTGTTATTTCTGGATTCACATGTAACAGTTTAATTAATTGTGAGGCATTGACAATTTCCACTGTTGGTTCCACCTCCTCATTGGTGTCATACACTATTTCCTTGCACCTTATGAGTTTTCGAGTTTCATTAACAGTATTATTAGTGTTTTCTGCGGTGACATTGGCCAGAGTGACGGTGTTGTATAAGTTAGTTAGTGTTTTATTGACATCTGACACAACATTGGAGAGCAATGACTCTGAGTCGTCAACATTAGGAACATCATTGACATCATTATCATCTTTTACCTCTTTTTCTGTTTCTTCCTGGATATCAAATTGTGTTGTTACTGTCACAAGTGCTGAAAACCAATTAAAAAATGTTAATTTAATTTTTTTTAAACTAATTTCATTGAGATTATGTAAATGTTGAAAGAATAATAATCTCATTAGCATTATAAACAGTAATTTATTGTGGAAAACGAGTGATGCTTGCATACAATAGTAATTTGTTTATTCACTTTATTGTTTTCAAGTTCATTGAGCTTTTTAATTTTAAAACTGTTTTTTAATTATTGTCAAGCATGGAACTAGCTGAAACATATGTTTCATCTTAAAGCCGTTTTCCGAGCGATTATTATAGACTTATAAACTGAATAATGAACTCATAATCTTTGTGCAACATTACTAAAATAAATTTTTTAACAGATTTTTCTAAGCCTCAAATTTATAATAAATGTACACCAATTTCCGAAGCACCAAGGTGTATTAGTGTACCAATAATAAAGCATGTTCTTATAAATATATAATAGCAAAATTTCAGCCTGAGATACTGAAAAAACAACTATTGGAAAAACTGAAAAACTCACTATAAAGTAATAAAGAGAACTCACCGAGTACCACGAACAACACGAAATAAAAATGTTTACTTATTTGTAGATACATGTTGCATGTAGTTAACTACACTATGGCTAAAAGAATAATTCGGTAAATCTGTGAAATGCTTATTTAAATACGATTTGTAATTATAATATTTTTTGTTTCCCTTCATGACATGACATTGTAAATAAATCAATCAGTTTGACGTTTGACGTATCGTGATCGTGACATTCTAGTTCAATTTGTAGCAACTCGATTGTGAGAAATATCAATATTCCGGATTTCACGAGATAAAAAGAGAAAAAAGATAATAATGTGCTTTTAGTTTAAGGAGTGACCAATTTCTCTGTTTATTTATACTGTGCCAATATGGTGGTTTGTAGTGTAGATATAAGTCCAGTTGCCTGTAAAAAAACTTAGTTGTCTGAAGAAAAACAACTTTTATTAGGAAGAACAGCTGATGCTTAGATAAATAAATAAAGGCCTAGTTTAGCAAATTATTGTGAGACAATTTATTTCTTCCGTACTATTTGAGCTTCCTCCAATATCCGGCTTACTAGGCCACAAACTGATGGTCAGCACTGTCTAAATAGCCGGGGTTGCGGGGTAAGCGCAATGAGGCACCGCGACCTCGGCCCAGAGCAGGAGAAGGAATAGGGGGGTTTTTAGTCAGTTAGAGTCTGACACTCCCTCCCGCCCGGCCCTGGGCGGGAGAAGTCATTTCATGATTTTCCCCTCACAAAAAAAGCACTGTCTGAATATGAAAAAGACATGGGTTGTAACAGGTGAAACACGATATCTGTTATCACTGTTACTTTTACATAAAAAATAACAGATCAAAATATCTGTTATTTAATATCTTCTTTCTTAATTTCTATTTTAAGTTGGAAATCGAATAAACAATAAGTAAAAATTCCATATGTCAGAATAAATAATAGGTGTGTCTCTTTTTAGCAAAATTCGTTCTTTAATGAGGAAAAGAGAAAATGAATATTAACATGCATGTAACGAAGTAGCCTGTATGTGTGTGGGGACTGGTACAATGAATAACACTTTTAATTTTAATGACAGGCAAACGGCACGTTTGCGTCATTAAAATAACAGATAAAATAAGTTGGTAGGAACAATTGTTACTTGGTATTTGTAAATATCTGTTACGATAAATAATGTCTTACTCCTAATACGAAATCAGAAATCCACTAACAGTCGAAATTTATTATTGATTGAAAGGAAGAGGATAAGAGATGCCAGGAATATTTTTGAATTATTTTATAAAAGGAATATTCAAAAATAAGCGTTGTGTTGATTAATTTTAATGTTTAACTTTAAAATAATTATATGGCAAGACTTATTACAGAAAAATAATTACAGCCTAAAAGGCTGAGCAATTGTTATTCAGTTACATTGTGCTCACATAATCACACAGGAGTTTTTCTATTCTATTTCTGATTTGAAATAAATTAGTTGTTTAACTAATTTTTTATCTGCAGTTTATAAAAAATGAGAACAGAAATGAGATTCACATCATATAAAATAAAAATTATTGCTTGACTAGTAAAACATAAAAATTTAAATTTATCACATCATCCATCAAAATCTCCAGTTGTTCTCCTTGTTTGCTTATATTAACATGTTTTTGTATTTTTGTTTTTCTTACATATTTTTGCTTTAGCAAGGCAGGATGAACCTTTGTTCTTGTTTGGCAGACACACAAATTATGTAGGTAACCTCTTCAGTTCATAAGGGTCTGTCATCTAACAAGTCACTTTCACTTATTCATACAAATTTCTTTAGCAATACTTTTTAATGCTTCTGTCTGTTCCTTCAACAGAGCTAATTTTTGTCTTAAATAATCCTTTTTAAAATTTAAATAGTCCTCTTTAATTTGTATCTTTCGTTGTTCCTGTACTGCTAGTATATCACAGTTGAAACTACAATTGTTTGGGTGTTTAGTGTTTTGTTTTGTATTATTTTTATGTTTTATTTTTATTTCAGAAGGTTCTGAGAATACTTTTTCTTCAGGTGCTGAGTCTGCATCACTGTATGATGCAGTAGTCTCATTAATATTATCAAAGTTGTCCTGGTTGTTATGTTCATCAAGAGGAATGAATTCTGTAGTCTTGGTAGTTGATGATACATTCTTTAGACCCAAAGCTTCCTGCTCTGCTGGTGTTAGCATCACTACTGAGTTTGGTAATTCACCATTTGTGTCCGCTTGTCGTTTTTTTGTTTTTGAACGTAAATCTTGCCAAGTCTGTAATATAAAATATTGAAGGAGTGTGATACTACGTAGGTACACTCCTTCACAGAGTAGCTCTTGGAAGAAAAATTCATAAAGATATATTATAGGATATTAGTAAAAACACACTTGGCAGAACACATATTTATTACTTGACGTTCTCTTGTCAACTCAAAAAAAGAAGATTCAAAATACTATCATAAAATGCATAGAGATTAAAAAAAGGTCGCAATACTCTTGCTCTAACACTCCTCCTTAATCTCATGCATATGATATGTACACACACATCTTTACTTTATACACGCAATCTCATACCATTCACACACCACTCATACTTGCCTCTGGGGAGAGCCTTGGTCAGAGCATCTGCTACCATCTTATCTGTTTCCCGATACTCCAATTTTATAGCTCCCGACTCAACAGCATTGCGTATAAAATGATATCTCACATCAACATGTTTTGTACGTTGGTGATGTACAGGATTATTGGCTATAGCAATTGCTGACTGGCTGTCTGAGAAAATCCGAATTGTTTCTTCCTGTTTACCAGTCATCTCTGCAATCAGCCTTTTGAGAAAGACAGCTTCTTTTGCAGCTTCTGATAGCGACACGTATTCTGCTTCGGCTGTGCTCATAGCCACCGTTCGTTGTTTCGTGCTTTGCCAAGAAACTGCACCTCCTTGAATAAGGAACACGGAACCTGAATATGAACGTCGATCAGCGTCTCCTGCATAATCGGCATCCGCGTAACCAACAACAACTTCTGGGTATTTTTGTTTGTTGTATGTCAACCCAAGCGTCTTGCTTCCTTTCAGGTAACGGAGGATTCGCTTTGCTACAATCCAATGTTGTTCCTCATAGCATTCATTGAACTGGCTAAGATAATTAACCACATGAGCAATGTCAGGCCTTGTACATACTGCTACATACATGAGCGAACCTATCAGTGCTCGATATGGAATTCTCTCATCTGGTCTCCTTCCATGTGTAGGCTTCTCTAGCCGTTGACCGGGTACTGCTGGTGTAACTACTGGTTTGCAGTCTTCCATATTAAATGCCTTCAGGAGTCCATCAATATACTTCTCCTGATGCAGTTTAATTTTGTTGACATCTTGAACAATATTAATTCCCAGCATTAACTCAGCTTTGCCGAGATCTTTCATATCAAATCTAGACTTCAACTCTTCTTTGAATTTGAACATCTCTTGCTTATTGTTCCAAAATATCAAAATGTCATCTACATACACAGCAATAATCATTATGTTTCCATTCTGTGACCGGGTGTAAACGCATGGCTCATTTTCAGATCTTCTGAACTTCAGTCTTATAAGTTCAGAGTGAAGCTTTGCGTTCCACGCTCGTGGCGCTTGTTTCAGTCCATACAAAGATTTTTTTAGAAGACAGACATAATTCTCCTTGCCCTTTACCTCGAACCCCTCTGGTTGCTTCATATAGACGATTTCATTTAAGTCTCCATTCAAAAATGCCGTTTTAAACGTCCATTTGATCTATGCCTAACTCTAAACGGGCGGCTAAGGCTATTAAGACTCTTAATGAGCTATGTCTGACTACAGGCGAAAAAGTTTCAAAGTAGTCGACTCCTCTCCGTTGGCTGAATCCTCTTGCTACAAGTCGTGCCTTATAACGAGTCTTTCCCCCCGCCTCTTCTTTAATTCGAAATAACCATTTCGAATCAACAATGTTGCACGACTTTGGCTGCTTCACCAACGTCCAAGTTTTATTCTTCTCGAGGGCTCTCAGCTCCTCCTCAATTGCGGCTTTCCATTTGTCTCCATCTTCTCTAGATAATGCATCCTGAACAGTTAAAGGGTCTGGCGATGCCTTGACTGCTTGGTAAGTTACAAAATCTGGATATGCTTTTGGTATTCTTTCTCGAAGCGGATATCTTCTATCTGATGGCCCATTGTCATTTACTGGTAGCTCTCTACCTTCTTCTACAAGACCATCCTCAGGATCTGCTTCATTCCCCTCGTCAGATGATTCCCAAACCTCATCTTCAACCTCAACATTCTCAAGAGCTGGATTTCCAGGTTCTTCAGGAATTTCTGGCTCTTCATGATGAGTTGAAATTCTATCATACTCAACCGTAACATCCGTCAGCGGTAGCGGGACGGCTTGATTAACGGGAGCACGTAGCTGTACTTTTGAGTTTTCAAAAAATATAACATCTCTACCTCTGTGCAACACTCCTGTCGTAGGGTTAATAAGGCGATAACCGTTTTCGCCATATCCAACATGGACTAACTCTGTGCCCTTAGGATCCCATTTTGTGCGCTTCTGATCTGGAACATGAAGATAAGCTTTACATCCAAACACTCTGAGGTGGCTTAAGTTCACTTTTCTTCCAGTCCAAGCTTCTTCGGGCGTTTTGTTTCTCAAGGCTTTAGTTGGAGACCTATTTTTTAAATACACGGCGGTGTTGACTGCCTCTGCCCACAATTTTCTGCCTAAACCAGCTTCTTCTAACATTGTCCTGGCTTTTTCAGTGATAGTTCTGTTAGCTCGCTCAGCAACTCCGTTTTGTTCGGGTGTATACTCTATTGTCAGTTGGTGACAGATCCCTTTTGCTTTACAGAACTCATCCATACGCTTATTGACAAACTCTTTGCCATTATCAGATCTGATAATTTTAAATTTCTTTCCAGTTTGACGTTCAGTAAGTTTTACGAATTCGGCAAACTTCTCAAAGACCTCTCCTTTACTTTTCAAGAAATATACAAATGTTTTTCTAGTGAAATCATCAATGAATGTGAGAAAATATCGTGAGCCTCCGTACGACTTCTCTCTCATGGGTCCGCACACGTCTGTGTGGACTAACCCTAAGACCTCACTTGCCCTAGTGGCACCAGTTTTCTTGAAAGGGTTCTTGGTCTGTTTTCCTACTGCACACGCTTCGCACTCTAGCTTAGAAGCAGTATTAGAAAAACTTACCCCATCTGCCATTTTGTTTTTAAGTAACATTAGGTTCCGTACCCCTAGATGTCCCATTCGCCTATGCCACAATATTATTTCGTCAGCAGCGGTTGAAGCTAGACCTACTTCCTGTGAACAATACTGTATTTTATAGACACCGTTATTTGCAGTACCTTCATACAAGGTCTCCCCGGAAACCTTACATCCATCTGCTTTGATTATCTTAAAGCCAGATTTCTCAAATACAACTACAAGGTTTTTATTTACAATTGTGCTAACACTGAGTAAATTTGTAGCTAAGTTAGGTACATACAAAACATTATTAATTGAGACGTCCATATCCTCGTTGACTACATTACCAATTGCTTCACCAACCACAGTTTCTCCATTTGCACAAGCTATTACAATTGATTTGTCTAATTTCTTAAAGTCTTTAAGCCAATCTCTCCGATTTGTCATGTGGTTAGAAGCTCCGGAGTCGAGAATCCATTCTCCATGTCCTTGTGCTGCTGTTGCTAACGCTAATGAGGTTAAGGCATCCTTCTTTTGAATAGGGTTTTTCGGACAATCCTTAGCCTTATGGTTCTCTTTGCATATGAAGCACTTAACGACACGTGATCTACTCATATTCTTGTGTGACTTATCTTTCTGACTTTTATTTTTAGCTTGTAATGCGGTTGTCACGGTACTAGGACTTGCTTGATAAGTATCCTCCATCTGAAGTAATTTCGTTTTGACGTAATCTGTAGTCAATTCTATGTTTGTGTTTTCTATTGCTAACCTCATGGGTTGGAAAGTCTCTGTCAACCCCTGTAGCATCAACGCTGCAAGTAATTCATCATCTACCTTTTTGCCCAGATCACGTAGCTGTTGCGCTACTGTCATTATGGCAGTTATGTAGTCTCTGATTGAAGAAAATTGCTCTAGTTTCAGGCTCACCAACTTTGTAAGAAGTCTGCATCGATTATTCAGGCCCTTGTCTTCAAAGGCAGTCTTCAGGGCATCCCATGCCGCTTTTGCAGTCTTCGATTCACGTACGTGTATCAAACAATGTGGTTTAATCATTAAACAGATTTTTGCCCTCGCTTTCTGATCTCTTTTAGAGCCGGAAACATCACTAGCAGCTGGTGTTGTTTGAGTGTATTCCCACAAGTCTTCATGAATTAGATAAAGTTCCATCATGAACTTCCATGTATTATAATCAGTACTACCATCAAGTTTCTCTATTGCTGGTAAACTCATACTTACTCCTTGGGATGGATACGATTGTGATTGTATATGCGTACCATTGCCGCTGCTCCCAGAGTTATTCATGATCGTACTTTCTATTTCCGCTGGTGATCATAACCTGAAGGAGTGTGATACTACGTAGGTACACTCCTTCACAGAGTAGCTCTTGGAAGAAAAATTCATAAAGATATATTATAGGATATTAGTAAAAACACACTTGGCAGAACACATATTTATTACTTGACGTTCTCTTGTCAACTCAAAAAAAGAAGATTCAAAATACTATCATAAAATGCATAGAGATTAAAAAAAGGTCGCAATACTCTTGCTCTAACAAATATAAATTGTTTAGTGTATAAATATAATTCATTTCATACTATATAAAAAAATATTTTATATACTTTTCTCCACTGTCTCCAAGACTTCCTAGCGCCGGGTATGGAATTACATTCATTAGCGATATTGTGCCACAGCTGTTGGGAGTCGCTATAGTTGAAATCCTGAGTAACTCGACATGATATCAGCTCAGGATGTTTTGTCATTAGTTCTATTAACTTCTTTTTCTGTTTAGGAGTTACATACACTCCTCTTTGCCTTTTATTTCGTTCCATAATTTGTACCTTAATACCTTTTATCTACATTCACGAACAGTTCCGTACTCTTTAATCATCTTCAATTAATTGACTATTGCTTACGAATGAGAGTCAATCATTGCACGCTCAGAAAGGATTTTGCTATTGTAGTTTATTAAAATTATGTGCAATTACTATCACTAATGTACACAAAACAATGCAAAAATAACAATATGACATCTTTTGCAACTGTCAGTGTCAAAGTCAGCAATTTGAGAAGCCAGTTTAGTTTTAACCATTGACATAGGAAATATATGGACTTGAAATACCTACGAAAAAAAGGTGCCTACCTACAATCCAAAATGTCGCATAAGATGGCTGCCGTTGCTAGGGTTGTGCCGACTAAGTATTTAACGAGTATCGATACAATTTGAGTAAAAGTTCTACGTAGGTATAGTTTTAGGGATTAGCCAGCTGATTAACGGTATTTTTTATGGGAAATCATCTAATGTCATCTCCGGCCTTTTTCGGGACAGACCGTTACTGACTAAAATCAACTCCTGTTCCTATTTTGCCGTCGGCCTAGCTAGAGCCCGGAACCCGGGGTTAACTTGGTCTCTTGATTGGCTAATGATTTTCTCAAGTCGAATTTGTATTCATATAATTCTACGTAAAGCGTCTTTTAAAAAAATAGGACTGTGTTTATGAACAGCGTTTAATGGAATGGTGAAATAGAAAAAGATAGTGTTTGTTAAATGTTTATATATGTTCTTTATATATGTGGAAAACCTGTGGGTATTTGTGAAGTGCTCGCGCACAATTTCGGCGCGTCTGATTAAGCGATGATATCTTCGAAACTACGTTAGCACAAAATAGATAAATGTAGTGAAGTCAATCTTATTGTATGTATCTCACTTTTTATTATTACGCTTGGTGGTCGCACTGGGATCGTCGCCAACGCCGATCTGTCAATCGCGCCCGTATAATTATAAAACATGATAATTTGAACTTTTACTTATGTAACTAAAACCAATACCAAAATACTGACGTCTTACTTTAGCGTTACACAAAACTGCGGAGACATCCATTGTTAAAATAGATTATTTAGTATAATATATGTTGAATTTTAAATGGGAGATTATATCGATACTTTTGTGAAATGGTACGTAACTATGCCATATTGACATATTATTGTAAACAACAATTTTTTACTAAAACTGTCTCACAGACAGAAATAAAAGTAAATATATATACTTTGGCAATAGATTAAAGTATCCGTGACATTTTTTCTATCTATGTGGATTATTCTAAGTAATATTTGATGAAAACTGTTTACTAACCTATACAAAGACAATTGAGGTTGATTTTCGTTCTTTTTTGCACCACACTGCACAATACAACACACAGGCATATTGTTTTTTTGTTTCACTATATATATTTGAAGTTTAAAAAAATGGTTCTTTGTAATTTACTGAAAAACCGCAATAATTTAAAACATAAACAACCATTTGACAGCACAACTACCATGAAAATCAGGTACTCTGAGCGCTTAAGATGGCGGACATGGCACTTACCTACAACTTTGCTAATGTCAAAATGATTTGTTTCCATATTAAGCAACAACTTAAATATTGTTGTCTCTTTTGTCTAATACAATTATTGCCTTAGAAAGAGTGAGAAAAAATGATATTTCATAGTTTGTTTCATATTTCCCTCATATTTGTATAAGCATGTATACTTCTATAGTAACACGGCGCCTCTATATATTTTCTATCTCAATGGTTTTAACCGTAGACAGAGAATAGAAGAATTCTCTATTCTCTGAATGTCTGTCTACGGTTTTAAAGGAACGTAAATGGATATCAATAATATTCATTTTTATATCTATGTTTCTTATTTTAATAAAATGGATTAATTAGGTAGTTACAATCATTCATACTTTATTGAAACAATAATTTCCAAACTGGTAGTAAATTAAAGTATGGTATCAATTTTTAAACGTCATGATATCGGTGTCGGCCATTTTGTTTTATATTTTTTGTCGATTGAACGAGGTCTGTCAGTCAGTCATTCATTAAATAAACGCCGAGTGTCGTGGTAGTAATTTACGCCGTTAAACAATATTCGTGTAATCATTATACCAAGGCGTATCTTTTGTTTGTAAAATTATGATATGACAAACAGTTGTGTCTGCTAAATCAATTGGTGAAATTGAGTGGGCAAAAATGGCTGGCGCTGAAGGGATTTTACGTCGATTTCTACTCGTCTTCTTGGATTGTCTGCTACTATTACAGCTAACGCAATACGTAAGTGTCTAGAGATATTACATTTTCATTGTTCCGCACTAATAAATCTAATAAGTATTGTAATTCTAGTGCTTTCTATATGGCGTTGCAATTTTACTTCTCAAGAGTGTTTGCACTATTTGATATTTATATTTTATAGCGTATGAGTGCAAAATTTCACTCAGCTGGTGTTGTGTGATCGTTGTACGTTTATATTCTCTTGATCATTATTTCCCCAATACATTAAATTTTCTATGTCATCTCAACAAAAGCTTAGGTGTTAAATAAATAAAATGATAAATAAATAAGTTTTCATACTGACTAAATTCATCAGGATGTCACGAGCACTTCACTTATCTAATTTTTCATGCAAATATTTGAAGTAGGTACCAATTAACTTCATTGAAGTTGTATTTTTTAATGGTTGGCATTGTCCTTGTACCACAAAAAAGTTGTTAAAAGCTAAACATTTGACTTATGAAATTGTTAGGTAATAAAATGATTGCAAAATGTTGAGGCAAAGCTCATAATTAAATGGAGGTTTTAAAAAAATTAACCACTACAACAAAAGCATTGTAATTTTATTATTATTTATAACCATATAAAACCTTAATTTTGTATCCAACAAGCTCATTACCATGTAGGTTGATAAATAATATCCATAATAAACAAAAAGTGTGATAACAGAATTTGATAAGAATCTGCATAAATGGCAGTCAGATAAATTGTATTGTTCAACATTATCGTTGAGTGTTAGGTGACCATTTCAACCAATAGAAAGTCATATAACAAGTATTATTATGAGGAAAGATGGATATGTATGTTTTAGACTACTAAAATGGAGTGCAAACCCATATAACTGGTTAATGTACTAGTATAAAATCCATAACCATACAAAAATCATAAACAATAGATCTTTAATTTGATCACACAGTTTGTTTAGATAAGAAATATGCTGTCCCTTTGATCATTATGGAGTTAGTTATTACAAATTTATTCTATGCAGTCATCAATCTTAGATTTGAGTCAAGTATTTAAATCCCAGATCTTCTCATCCTCTAGCACAGACTATAGACAGGACATTATTTCATTTATGCTGGCTGCCTTAGTGGTTGCTTGCGATACTGATACTTAATTTCTCCAATGCATGTTATTATTATGTATAAACCATCCTCTTTAATCATTCAATCCATTAAAAATCCACATCAAATCCATTGCATAGTTCAAAGATTTAAGCAACATATGGAAGCAACATAGTTTTATAGTATTAATATTGAAACACCTAAATAACATTCAAAAGTATTAAAAACACACTTCTGATTTATATTTTGTGTTGTATACCTGTCTGCTCTATTGTTATTATGGCATGAAAAAGTCTATGGGAAACCCCACCAAATGTTATCTTATGTGTAACACTGATAATTTATATTATGACTGAGATATCATAAATATTTTCAGTACTTGTCAATAACATCATACATAAGTTTTACTGAGATAAATTTTGATATCACTATCAAACAAATTTATCCAGTATTTAAGACTCTTGTCCTATATTCAAACAATTTTGACACATTTCTGTTGCAATCTTGACCAGGCAATGGTCTTAAAAAACTGCTTTAGGTCTTAAACTATCTAATAAGTGAGTAGTTTCATAGATGAATAGACTTTTATATAAGAAATAAACCACAATGTCAAATTAAACCTCACTAAGATCCTTTTTTGATATAAAATAATAATACAGTACCTTCTTATGGTACCATAATGTTCAGATAACAAGTTATAATTAGTGTAGCGTGATGATAATAATTGCAGAAAGAATAGAAAAGGGGACATCAAACATGTTGCTCATAAATTGACATGACACAAGCTGATATTATGTCAATCAGGAACTCAAATGGTTCAATTAAGATTAATTTATACCAATAACTGCGTGTACTCTTCAATTGATACAGAATTAAGCTTAGTAAAGGCGTCTGCATTCGAAATAAATATATTGGAAGAATTTTATTGTATATTATTGATTAAATGTAGATGTAATATGAGAAATCTTTTTTTATGTGTTCATGGTAGTATCCATTACTTTATGGTATGCAATCAGCGCCGCCCATAGACACGCGCAACAACAGAAGAGTTACGAGTGCTTTGCCGACCTTTTGGGATTAGGGATTTGGCGATTAAAGGTTTGGGGAGGGGAAGAACACGGCGAAACACAACAGAAAACCGGAGTGAAACAACCACAGTTGTTTCACTCCGGTTTTCTGTGAGGCCGTGGTGTCCACTACGACCCATTTGTGCCGAAGCATGGCTTTCCCACATTGCTACAATAATATATACCTACATAGTTCTAAGATATTTTGAGATTTACTAAGCGCGGTCATTACACGTATTCAAGATCACTTTGCGTTATCTACATAGTAATGTACTTATTTAATCAAATAACAAACATTATTCTGATGATAATTATTAACTGCGTATGTTTGAGGTAGCACACTATTTTTGTTATTATTGAATGGGGCTTTATTCATCGTGTTATCACTTGGTATTTCTCGTTAGGAAAACTTAAGTGTTATTCAGAATCTATTTCCGGACCCGCATCTAACTGTCGGTCTTCATGTTGCTAGTTAATAGAAGCGAAGTGTTAGCGGATAGTACTCTGGAATAACATAGTATATTATTTTATGACCATTCGATTATACCCCTCGTCTCTGATCTAATATAATTTATTAATTTCCAAGGACTATTGGAAATTGGGGGTCTCGAGAGCCATATTCCCGAAACCCAATAGAACGGGTAGTTTTCTTTCCTAACTACTTACGATTACAAATCATGTTATGTGAAATTAGCTGAAATGACATTAAAAATAGATCTCCGAATGTGTTAGGAAGAAGATTCATGTGCTCACTACAGACAGACAGAGTCTATAATTATATTCACTAACAACAGTTGTTTGTTTTTGTCCGTCTACAAGTTTTGTATCGGTTGTTTTGCAGTCCGACGGCAATGTTTGACGACCACACAGATTAGGATAACATGACACGCTCAACCTTGACCTTAGCTCAACTCACGGAAGGGCATCGGACACAATATGACAACGTACTAAAATAATCCTTGTCAAAATCTAATTTACGTTGAAAACTCCTGTCTTGAATGTTAAGGACAAACACATGGTAATTTCTACACCAAGGCTAGTCGTAGTTACACGTTTAAGTATACGTCAACTGTTTTATGAGGCTATTGCTATCTGCATTCACGTCCATGTTAAAGTCATAAAGATATGTATGGACGACATTCTGAACTTCAATCATAAAGTATCATGATTTAGCAGCCCTACATTTAATGAAACCGAATAAAACCAGTTTTCACAAGGTTAAAGGGTAATTATAAAAAGCCAATGGAGTCTTAAATGACGTCATAATTGTAGCCTATGAAAATCATTGGACCTGTTGTAGATTTCACAATAATAATGTTCCATTAAAGTTTTTAGATAGATTCAGTTAATTGTTCGGATCGGAAATATGATAATTGCAATTGAATATATAAGTTCACCCTTCTAGAAAGTGTCCCTGCAAATGACGGTGTCGTTTCCATGTATGCCTGCTGCAGGAATGGACATGGTTGCGGCTGCAAACGCGCCAAGGTTCATAGACGTACTTCGTCACGCGTGCGTGAGGTACATAATAACTAGTTATGTTTTCCTTATTACCACTTATTCAAGGTGTTTGTCCACTAGAAAATAATGCTCTTAATTGCTGAATCCTTTCAAGTAAGAAAAACGAAAATATGGCAAAAGAAAACCGCTCTTATAAGGCTTGAATACCATAAAAGTTACTTAAAACTTTGTAGTCTAATTTTGTCAAGTCTGTCCAATAAATTGTGTTAGGAATATTAATCACAGAAGTGACCAAGTAGATTAAGTCGAGTAATAGGTGAACGCTTATATGCCTGTTACATGTAATTATACCAAATTGTTTCATTATAAATTTTAACCGAAATGATCACCTACTACTACTGAAATTTTCCACTCGCAAGAAAACTACATTTGATTAGCGTTTCTTTACATCTTCGCACGAGTAATTAATTCAATGGTGTATTTAGTACCCCGTGTTGGTTAGGTAGATAAACATCCTTCGTTGAAGGTCACGATCATAACTCCTTGTAACTAAGGGGCAGTGTTTTGAGTTACATGCATCGACTCTGACGCCAACGGATGTCCAAGTTTGTTTTAATTCGATCGGAATAAATCATGCATAATTCGGGACACTCAGACAAACCTTGGCGTGTTTTGGAGGTCATAACGAATGCGATATCGATGTTGTTTCTTCTGACGGCTCATATTTTGCCATACAATTGAATAATGTATAAAAAATATTGTCAGTTTTTTATAAGCAAGAGTTTTGCATAACAAAAGATGACAAAAGAAACAAACTAGCTGTCTCGATCTCGAAGACAAGAAAAATCGTTTTTTTTTTGCCTCGTTTCGCCATAAGTTATTCTATCAATATACTCCACCGTAGGTAGGAAACGTATGGACATGAGATTCGGAATAATGTAGATGTTAAAATTACGATTTTAATGTGGCCGTCCTAAAATCTGAATATCGATGTCATCTGACTGAAGGTCTTTGACAAGGCCTCACTGCAAAAAAAAAGAACATTGAATTGACTTTTTTTGGCCACTCATTTTGTCATTTATATCTCACTACTTACCTGAAATTGTGTAACTAATATGAACACTAGGTATATGGTCAATTTCCCTAATGATTAAAGTCGCTTTCTTAGTTCCCGGAAGGCGACTAACGAATCTTCCTTATGTGTTCAACTCCATATTAATAAATTGGCTTAGAAGGAAACATGTATTTCGTAAAGGAAAATTCCTTACCAAATCGATTTAAATATACAATTGAAGCCCTTTAACTACGTCATGATTCGATAGTGACTCATTGGCAAAACAGGAAAGCCCTGATTCAAGTTTACCAGTCAATCACAAACAGGCAAAAGAGCCCTTTTGAAAGAGTACTTTAGGTTTTATTTAGCTTGATACATTGAGGAGCAAAGTGGGGTCAGAAATAATTATAGTTCTGTCTGTCGTTCCCGTACTTGTATTGATCAGGGACCGTAAATAGCAGACCAATACAAAAATACACCACAAGATCAAGGTTACATAATAGCGCATTACTTTCTTCATTTATTAGTCCCTTGTAATGAAAATAACCATATTTCCAAATGTCACTTATACCTAATTCAACGACTTTGGGGTTCTACTACTAGGAGAATGAAGCACTAATATTGTGTTTTTCTAAATGAAGAATATCTACTTGAATTTTTTAATTGATATTTACGACTGCATACTTGTAACTGGCAACATCAGTAGGAAGTAAACCAAGCAGGCAATCCGTATCTGAGTCAGATAATCCTACAAATTGTCACGGATGATGCTGACTCACGCTTGGATCAACGCACGATCACATCACTTTACACTGTGATTTACATAGTTACTTATTGAGATGTTCCGTTTAATGTCTGTCCAAAGGTTGTTGAGCTCAAGAGTGTAGAACGAATCGGTTATATCTATTAACATTGCAATAATTGATTATTTTTTAAAACATTAACAATTAACCTTTGTAAAAAATTACATTGTTGATAGAGTACTGAAACCAAAGACGCTTATTATACCGTTAATTAAGTAATAGATATCGATCGCCCAGAACAACCCAGAAGCCATTATAAACGCGAGACTTTAATGAGTCAACGACTCAAAGCCACAGGCGAGGCGGAGGTTTAGGATCGATAAACATCTGTGAAATTTCATTGTACAGGCTTCGCTACAGGTGGAAACTATGCAACATCGATTCGCATGAATTCTAGTAAAATATCACAGCCCTACAATTTTAGATGCTCTTCAACAATTTTGTTGAGAAGCAACAAACAGAACCAGTCTCACAAAATGACTTGTAATTTGCCAACAAGTTTTTTTTTTTGCTGTGCGGTGTAAACTGATCTTTGCTCAGGTACACGTCTCACCTTGAATGTTCTTAGCGCACATATTAGCCACATTAAAATCGTAATGTTTTATCATTTAGCATCCAGCAACTGCTAAATTGCAAGTTCATTACGTATATCTAATATTTATGTATTATTTAGATGTTATTGAAACAACAACCGTTGTTAGGGGAATGTAGTTACTATATGTATAGCGTGATTTCTAAGACGTTTCAATGTAAGATTAAGTAGTACGAGGCATTATTCTGTTGCTCCTTTGTGTAAACATAATGTGATTGTCTAAGTACATTTTACATTCAAACGAGTTATAACAGTGGGCGTTTACATTATACTAAAATTACATAGCTGAGGCCTTTGAACCTTTCCCTGTAAAAACTAAATCTTTCAATAATTCCAAAGGTGAAGGAACTGAATTGGAGAACGCACTGTATTCAGGGTAGTCCTTAAGGTCAAAGAACCAATTTCTTTGAAATTTTCTCTAAATTGAAAACCGAATGCCTACTTGCTTTTGTTCACGACTAATTGAGACGCGAGATCTCAACCTTTCAATGAGCGCCTGTTTACTTTTCGAATTACGGCATAAACAAAGTCCTTTTAGATGTAAGGAAGGCTTTCATTATTTCATTAGGTGAGAATTTCATGAAATAACAAGTTTTTACATTCAGGTCATGACGAAGCGACCTGAAAAGCTGTTTTTGCATAAATTTTACGTTAAAAGACAGAAACAGATACTGCATAGATACTGCATATACTTGATTGGAATTTCTTCCTACAGTCCTTCCAAAGAAAAAACTAAATGTATGTGTACCTACCTACGTCAAAAGGCAAGTGAATAATTCAGTAATGGTTTATTACACCGTTATATTCAGCTGGCTAAGGAAAAAACATTTTATCAGGTCAAAATTTGATTTTCAATTGTAAAGTCATCTATGTGTTTAATATTAATATCGGGATTTTGAATTCTAAGTCAATGTTATATGCATGGTTGCGACCTAAAAATCTTAAATCTGTATGTTTAAGTAATGACGGAAGGTTTTATTATGTTGAATACAATATTGACGTCATTGATTTTATTATCACGACTGTTTATTTTAAAGTACTGAGACTTTTTTCGCACATTATAATCTTATGTAAAAAACGGGCACTTAATCAATACTGATATTAAAAAGCTTTAGAGTTTGTTTGTTTGAACTGGCTGATCTCCGGAAATACTCGTTCGAATTAAACAATTCCTTTTGTGTTTGTCAGACCATTTATCGAAGAACTATTAAACATCTCGCTACGATCTGTTGGAGCCGAGCAACGGGTAAACCGCGCGAGAATAGCTAGTTGTTTAAATAGTGCGAAGCAATATTTAGCTTAGATTACTTAAATTGAGTTCTTAATCTCGCCAATACACTAACAGTTTAATTTATTTAAAATTGTGATGTTATCCGCCTGGCTTCTACTTGATATGGCATAGTGATAAAGCTGTAGAGTACTTACAGCATATTTCCTGATTTCTACAATCGCTCATTATGATGAATTTTTCCCTAACCGCAAACAGTTAACAAATGAAATCATGATATATATTTTAATTAGCGGTTTAAACTGACTCACACAATGTTTTGTCAAACAAACACATTATTATTGTTTTGTTCTCTATTCTCTCTTCTTAGTAACATTAATATTGTCAATATCATTGTAATATCTAACGGGCCAGCTCTTTACTATTCCCGTGTCCCACATGCCTGTTCTTGTGAATGATATTCTAACGTCACCGACATCCGTTCTATACGATTGAATTACAAATGTATCGGTGTTCAATATATCGACGTTTGCATGCCGAAAAATGGACGTCATGTTCGCATATTATATTCGATTTTTGATACTTCTTTGTAGGTCCAAACTTAAGACAATATGCACTAGCATTACAGTTTTACAGTGCATGTTATAGATAATTTAATTTTTATTAAACACAGATCAGAAAAGTTTTGATTAGAAATGTGTCAAAAATGTACCTTAAATTCCCGGGTTGATCATTTTTGCGGTAGTGATGAATTAACTCTAGGATTTTAGATCATAAACAATACTTAGTTTATCGCAAACGCATGACGCGTTTCGAGAAGATTATTTAGAAGTTTATTTATAGCGACGTGCTTCAAAGCAAATTCCTTTCTAAAGGATGGCTGGCAACGTTTCTATGTTATGGCAAACTTGCCTTTAGTTGACTATTTCATTTGTATAATATCAGTAGAGATAAGCAATGAAGACTTCGAATTATCATAAAAACCCCCTCATATGTTATCTTGTCCTATCCTTATACGTTGTCAACCACAAAATGGCTCTATGACTTTAGATTTGAATGCAACGTCTACATATAAATCGACAACACCTGTTTTACTTGTCATGGTGCAGCTATTTAGATGCATTTTGTTTTGCTTTATTATCGTAAATATAACACTATATACGCTATCTTCATGGTGTATGTCTCTTAATAAGATAGTGGAACTGCAAGCCACGAATGCAATATTTTAAGACATTGTGATATGCATATTTTCATCACGCTATGTGCTGTATTTGTTTGCAAGTTGTAATCTCTAACGTAGTGAACTTTGTCCCTTATTAAATGACATATCTTAAGTCATTATTGTAACAAGAATCGGATGAATCATTGCATGTAAAGAGACAATAGAAAATAGTGTCGTAATTAAACGTTTAAGTCCACGTGTTAAAGAGGAGTTTCAGCAAAATTCATCTGTTTCCTAACCTCGCTGTAAATAAATTGACCAATTCAATAATTCTGTTCCCGTTCATTCAATTTGCTTAGCACGCGTTTTTTTGTTGGCACGCGTAAAACTATCGCTACACAGTAAACACACTTGGATCATAAGAGCATTGCTACGTAATGATTCATAGCCTGGGCCTGTTTCTTGTTTTGGAAATACTATTCAACAATTTGTAGGTGTATATCAAACTATATAGGGTTAGCTACATAATTCTATAGTAATCTTATTACAAGCACGTTCTTCTGGACATGGAACGTGCGTCATTGCCGTGTCACCTGAGTTCAACGTTAGTGATTCAGGAAAATAGTTACTGTACGACAACTTGAAACATCTGTATGTTGGTCTCATATCTGGATGTTGGTGTCATATTTAAAAACAAAGTTTGTCACGTCATAAGTCGTGCGAATTAAGGCTATAAAAAAGTTAATCGGTTCAGTCTTAAATAAAGACTTGCGCAATTTTACGATAAAACAAAATATAAGCAACATTGAACGTTTGCGAAAAATGTTATTTGAATAAGCTAATATTTTTTTTGTTATGCTTTGGCAGCAATTACTTAGTAGACATTTTTGCTTCAGGTACCCACAGCATCTGCAGAGGCCCACTGTATCTGGTATGGCGTCTGTTCAAGCGACCCCCTCAGACCGACAAACTGCGCTTACAATGGAACAGCAAAACCCATCCCTAGTACAGCTATGGTAAGTACTATAATAACTTAATTGCTAACATCACCAGATAAGCTGCTCACGTCATTGTCAACAGAACAATAAAATTAATATACAAAAATGATTTATGGTTGGCGGTTTAAGAAGGAAAACGCTTCTAGAAATATTTACGTAAGCCATGATTGGTGCCATTCCTGATTAAAACTTAATTACACGTCTAGTCGCTTGATACTGTCCCCTGCCGTTATGCTGGCGTATTCTGCACATAATAGGATGTCAATATTGCAGTTCAATTTACCGGTTATATTAAAAACCTTTTACAACCCCAAGGGCACTGTGAGCGACACTTATCTGGGTCACCGGGTGAAGTTACTTTGTGCTCTCGGTGCTATATTTAGCAGGTGCATGCAATAATGACGTCACACAAGTCCTAGTTTTCACGCGGAACTTGACCTGTGCCCAACAATAGCTACGTTCAGGCTAAATGATAGCTGCATCGATTGCCTTTGGTAGGAGACAGTTTTAATTTAATGGAGCTGGTTGGCTGAAGTTTATCGTTGTTTGTTATACCTACGTAGAAATAATTTCCTTTCCGATGTTTTTCTTATAACTCTCATGTTTACAAAAACAGTCACAATAAGGATGAAACTAAAAATATGTAATCATACAAATGGCATAAAGAGTCAACATTGAGTCATCGACAGTGACCATTGCCACTGTGCCTGTGTGATAATGTTATCCTTGCGACTTGTAAATACCAATTAGATGAAGCTAACTGGATGAATCACGGCCTGAGCTGTAAGCAGAGAACTGAGAACAGAGGCGTCTTTTTAAGAGCGTAGGGTTTCATTTAATTTTTTTTATTAACTGCAGATATTATACACTGGTTGCTATACATTTATCAAAGCTAAAGTTCACCTTGGAGACTGGTTATTGGTTAGTGTATCTATCTTGTGCTCGTATTCAAACAATTGACGCTACTTTGTTGCTATCAATTAATTTCATAGCGACGACCCACGAGCCGTCTACTTACGTACTTACTATGTTTCCTTTGTTTTGTTTGTTATTGGAAAGTCATAGTTAATATAGTCTTTATTCTATAATAGGTCATAAAAAAATTCTAAAACCAATTTCATAGAGATTTCCCTATGGGGTAATGAATTACGTCAAAATAATCGATGGCATAGTTACTAGACAGCGTGCCGACGCTTATGCGAATGTTTCTGGAACTAATATTTGTGTAACCTATATACAAACATTATAAGTTGTCTGTGTGCCTACTCGTATGACACAGTGTAGTCTGTAAATACTTTTCACGCCGGAGATTATTCTGAAGTTATTTCTACGAAAGTCAGTAGAAGCCCTTTTTCTTTGGATGCCCGAACATTGTCAATTTTCAAATAAAAATGGATATAAGTGCCTATTTAAATGAAGTTAAATAATTATACTAGTAACGGAAATGCATTAGGTAGCTTCTTTATTTGTGGTTATTGTACTTTTGGACTGTTTGTGAAGTAATACCTAATGCAACTGGTGATGATCTATTCGATATGTTAACATATTGCTACTGTTATGTAATGGTGTATATCAATTTCTTAACATAATAATGTTTCCAGTTTCTTACCAAATATTTTTGGCAAAACGGTACCCTATCACGTCATGATTTTTTGTAAAGCAATTTAAATTACCTGTGAGTTTTTAAACACAAACGAAACAGATACTTCGGTAACAAAAGGAACGTTGCAATTTATTATAACATTTTATGTCTAAAAGGTCGTAAATAATCAGCTAAAGAAAATTACTTTGCCGTCGAATTCCAAGTCTAGACAGACAGACATTAAAAAGGCTACAAAGTTCATAAGGAATGCAGTCGCACCACGTAGCTACGAGACTGTACCTTATAGCAGCTAAAGTTCCGTGAAATAGTTAATGATAAGAAGAAGCTTATGTCCAGACGAGCCTTTCTAGCGATAAGATAGTATTTTATGCTTGTAGGATGTCGATATGACTTGTAATGCCTATCTCAAGTCAGGTAGTATGAGGCAATGACGTCATTCCTAAAACACTGAATGCGTTTGTAAAAAGAAGATGTCAACAATGCCGACTCATGTAGCGTCTTACCTAAAGGACAAAGACTACCAAAATACATATTACATAGATAATGAACTTGCTTTTTATCTTGGGAATTAAGCATAACAAAGAGACTAGTAATTAATTATGTCTCTATATTTAATTATCAAATATTTTATCAAGATAGCATTCGCAAATACAGGATGGCAATTAATAAGAGATAGGTCATAGGAAACAGATTTATCATTTTTGTCATTTAATAGTATGCTAATATGATCGAAGGCTGCTTTCGAGGTCATGTGATTGATTAGATCCTTTGTTTTGCAAAGCCGTTCTGGTGTTGATGTGGTAGGGGTTATTAAACTATGCTATGACAGTTCAACACCTTGTATGCAAAGATTAATCAGTGTGGAAAACGTCACGAGTACGAATGTTATGAACGCTTCTTTGAAGAGATGTTTGAAATATGTGTGAGTTATGTCGAGTTAAAAATAGGCGAGCGTTTCCTACGGGTTGCAAATTACAGAGGTCGATCAGTGCTTTGTTTTAACCCAGCGAACTGTCTAGAATATTCTAGATATTTACGCTAAGCATGTAGTTAAAATACTAATCGGATTGTGTCCAGTCTAAGAACAACGAGTTCTCAAATTAAAAAAAAATATAAATAACAGTTTATGTCCTAAAATGGTACATATGATTAAGCTTATAAGTATGTTTAATTTAACCACGTTAACATGAGTCAAAAACACGGAAATGAAAACACACAAAAACTTAACAAACCTGTTGTAGAACCAGCTATCGCTGTGTGTGACTATGTTAATTTCGAAATGATGCCAAATTGGCGAGTGACTTCACTGTTGCAGCAAAACATAGGTACAAACGTGCTGATGTTTTTGTTAGAGATAGTCTACGTCTACATTCACATACACAAACGTGTTATGATTGGCTCACTCTCACACTAATTCAATAGAAACGAATGTGGAAGAAAATTGACAGATGCTATATAGTTTTGTTTTGAATTCGTACTCCGAAGTCTGGGATGGTTGCCAAACTACTGAAATCGAGTGTAATGACGTAAACTTCAAAGATAAAAGATCCCTAGGATTGTATGAACAAGAAAACCATGATGGTATTATATTATCAGACGTGTGCTAATGATATTTTTCATTCACTCCAGCGACGTGACGTCAGCCTCTTAATGTTGGTCATAATTCAAGAATCAACAATCGCGTAGAACTTCCGAATATCTAAATGTGTTTAAACCGCATTGGTAATTTACTTCCTATACTATCAGACATAAGCAATTTAAATATTAACGTAAAGTTTTTGATCGTTTTGGTGATGTAATCACATAGCTCTTGCTTGTGTACTGTAAAAAATAAAAGTTAACCTTGAGAGAAAGTTAAGCACTTTCACGGCAGTCAAAATATCATAATATCACTGCGCCTTTCTTGAAATGGTGCACTTTAATCTTAGTCGGCAATACGCGAAGTGCTCATGCAAGTTGCTTGGTAACACGACCCTAATGAGAAACAATTGGCGGCAAATGATCAGTGCCGGACTTGATTGGAGAATCAAGTTGATAATTGAAACGCTTGCGACTACGCAGAAGCCGTACAAATCGTCAAAGAGAACGATAATAATGCGCAATTACAGTTTATTTACAGAGTTTACCAAATGTTTGTGAACAAGATCTAGCCGCGGCGTTGAATGTAGCTTCACCATAAAACATCACACAGGTTGCCGGCTGCCTAGCCGACAAAGTATATAAACGTTAAACCAATTAATGTGCACTATAACATTTCATAGTTCACACAATTGTATAGCACTATTGTCTATTGTTTAACTTTATTCTTCAAAACAAAGTAGGCTGCGTCTTATTTTCTTCATCTAATTTTAAATTGTTTTTGTTTACTCTTGTCATCTTAGTCTGATTATGTTCAAATGCTGATATTAAATTCCACTGTAAAATCTTTAAGATCCTCCGGTATCGTGGAGCTGAAACTTTATATTCGACCTTCAGACAACCTTATCTCCTTTGGTGATATCGATCGTTGTTCACTAACAATTTGTATTCCGCAGAGGGTTGCAATGTTTTACGGCAAAAGTAACTGGATCAGTGTGCCTTAGAGCCTAGTTTTGTTGCGTAAATTTATTGAATTATCTGTAGACTTGTCTGCTCATAGATTGTAGCTGTTGTTCTCAGTTGTTACTGATCAATGTCCAAGTTGCGTTTTTGGCTATCTTTTCAACTATGCGATATGTAATTTGTGTATAATTTTGTATCGAAACAAACAGGTTGGATTACGGTAGTCAGTTTGCCTATCTTTACATCCGTATTCCGAGTAGATATTATTTAACATATTTTATCTCAGTTTGCAAATTTGCAAATAGTTGACTGCTAATACCCCAAGGCAGCTTAGCAACACGTTGAATAGCTTTTCCTGTGTTTTCAAGGAATTCTTGTTTTTTGTGAATTCGTTTTTTTACTTGGAATTTCGAGGTTTTCAAAAGTTCTAAGTATGCAGTTCCTGCTAAAACTGTGGTCAGACATTGTAATGATAAAGTTTTAGCGTTAGAAATAATGTAACCATAGCCCACGTAATGATAAAAATTTTTTACGTATGTTTATTGCTACATGTTTCATGGTGTATAATACAGCACAATGCAAGCTCAATGGTTTTTAGTAAATTATACGATCAGTTTCGCGATACCGTTAAATTATTTGTAATTAAGTTTAATGGCGTTCGTTTGTGTTCATGATCACGTAATGATCTTCATTATAAATATGTTTTCTATCATTTCCCGTTTACCCAAACATTATTATAAGTAAATCTACGTTTTTAGAATTGATTGTTTTATAAATGGCGCTTCCTTTTGTGACAATAACATCGTCTCTATTCCGGAACAAGCAAAAAATCTGTTTAGTAGGTGGATTTAATGACTACCAATAATAGATGACG